GTGCCAGTGCCCGTCAGGGACAGGGCAGCAATCCCTGTGCCAGTGTCCTATCCCTGTGCCAATGTCCATCAGGGACAGGGCAACAATCCCTGTGCCAGTGTCCAATCCCTGTGCCAGTGTCCATCAGGGACAGGGCAGCAATCCTGTGCCAGTGTCCTATCCCTGTGCCAGTGTCCATCAGGGACAGGGCAGCAATCCCTGTGCCAGTGTCCAATCCCTGTGCCAGTGTCCAATCCCTGTGCCAGTGTCCATCAGGGACAGGGCAGCAATCCCTGTGCCAGTGTCCTATCCCTGTGCCAGTGTCCATCAGGGACAGGGCAGCAATCCCTGTGCCAGTGTCCAATCCCTGTGCCAGTGTCCATCAGGGACAGGGCAGCAATCCCTGTGCCAGTGTCCAATCCCTGTGCCAGTGTCCAATCGCTGTGCCAGTGTCCAGTCCTTGTGCCTGTGCCCATCAGGGCTGGGGTAGGGCAGCAATCCCTGTGCCAGTGCCCATCAGGGCTGGCAGCTGGGGATATTTTGGGACTGTGCCTAAGGATGAAATGCTTGGCTCTGGGATTTCACTGCCAGGGCAGTCTTGTCTCGGGCACATATGGGATATTGGATATGGGATATTGGATATGGGATAGGGTCTTTGCCATTCTCACCCCGCTCTGAGTGAGGATGGATCTCCCTGCTCCCGCTGTTGGTCTGGGATGTGAACACTCCCTGGAAGGGGCATGGAAAGGGCTGGGAAGGGGGGTGTCAGTGCTGGGCAGTGGTGCTGGCTGCAGCAGGAGCTCTGGCAGCTCCCCATGCCCTGCTCAGTGTCAGTGCTCAGTGCTGGGCAGTGGTGCTGGCTGCAGGCAGAGCTCTGGCAGCTCCCCATGCCCTGCTCAGTGTCAGTGTCAGTGCTGGGCAGTGGTGCTGGCTGCAGGCAGAGCTCTGGCAGCTCCCCCTGCCCTGCTCAGTGCTGCCGCTCTCGTTGCAGTCCGAGGAGGATTTCCTGGAGAGGAGGAGGGAGGTGGAGCGGCTGCTGAGGAAGAACGCGGATTGGATCTGGGACTGGTCCAGCCGGCCCGAGAACATCCCGCCCAAGTGAGTGAGTGCTGCCCCGGCTGCTGGAGAGCTCCTGCAGCTCCTGCTGCTGCTGCCTGAGCACAGGGCTCCCCTTCCTTCCCCACATCAGGGAGTTCCTCTTCAAGCACCCCCGGCGCACGGCCACGCTCAGCATGAGGAACACCAGTGTCATGAAGAAAGGGGGGATATTCTCTGCAGAGTTCCTGAAGGTTTTCCTCCCGTCCCTGCTGCTCTCTCACCTGCTGGCCATTGGACTAGGGTAAGGTTCAATTGAAAAAAAAAAGATGTTTTTACTTGCTTTATTTGAGGCCTGACTCGGATCCCCAACTCCCTCTTTGTCCGAGATGGTTATTCAGGAAGTGCTTCCTGCCTGTGGTATTGATGGATGGTTGAAGTTTCTGATTTTGTCTGTTTGGGAATTTCTCAGAACAATTAAGAGGCAGGGAAATGAGAAATTCTGTACACTGGAACTGTAGTCACACAACACTTAGCTCCACTGGAGATGAGACTCTTCATCTCACAGCTAGGAGACCAGCAAAGCAAAAAGCTAGTATTGAATAGATTTTAAAGTTTCACTGACATAAATTTAAAAATATTTAATATTATTTTAAATTACTCAGCAGATGTTTTAATTCCCTCCTGGGAGGGATGGAGGATGTTTCCTTTCCACAGGAGTGTGGGGCAGGTGCTGGGCCCTGGTGCTGGGAGGGGCACCAGAGCAGGGGCAGCCATTGGGCTGGGAGGGGCACCAGAGCAGGGGCAGTCCCGGGGCTGGGAGGGCACCAGAGCAGGGGCAGCCATGGGGCTGGGAGGGCACCAGAGCAGGGGCAGCCATGGGGCTGGGAGGGCACCAGACCCGGGGCAGCCATGGGGCTGGGAGGGCACCAGACCCGGGGCAGCCATGGGGCTGGGAGGGCACCAGAGCAGGGGCAGTCAGGGGGCTGGGGCTGGGAGGGCACCAGAGCAGGGGCAGCCAGGGGGCTGGGGCTGGGAGGGCACCAGAGCAGGGGCAGTCCCTGGGGCTGGGAGGGCACCAGAGCAGGGGCAGTCAGGGGGCTGGGGCTGGGAGGGCACCAGAGCAGGGGCAGCCATGGGGCTGGGAGGGCACCAGAGCAGGGGCAGTCCCGGGGCTGGGAGGGCACCAGAGCAGGGGCAGTCCCGGGGCTGGGGCTGGGCTCCGGGGCAGTTCTGTTCCTGCTCGGCTGCAGCTGGCAGTGCTGCTCCTGCCGGGAATTGCGGGGGCAGGGCCTGGCAGGGAGGGCATTCCCAGCACTGACACGGCCGGGCTGTGACCGTGTGCTCTGTCCTGCCGCAGGATTTACATCGGGAGGCGCCTGACCACCACGGCCTCCAGCAGCACCTTCTAGAGGCACCGGGGGCGGAGCTGGAGCGGAGCAGCCGCAGCTGGAGCGCAGGAGGTGCGAGGAGGGGAGCTGGTCGTGGCCGTCGTGTGTGTGTCCTGTCCGTGTCCTGTTTTAGTTTAGTCTAAAAATGGGAAGGGAGCCGCTGGAGCTCCCGTGTCACGTCGAGCCTTCTGGATCAATCCCGCTGGATAACCCCACGAGCACGTGCAGACGCTGTGATGTCCCGTAGTGCTTTTAGTGAAGTACCCGAGCATTAGAGCAGCTCCGCGTTTCAGTCAGCCCCAGCTTTCTGCAGCCCCCGTGCTGGGCCGCGTCCATCCCGCCCTCCCGTGCCTGTGGTGGGAGTGTCCCTGCTCTGCAGCCCCACAGGAGGGACGAGCCCAGACTGGAGCGGCCTTAGGGATGATCCGGGAATGCCCAGCGGCTCTCGCTGCCCCGGGCAGCCTTTCCTCTGGCAGGTGTGGCTTAGTTCACTTCGGTGGGAGGTGTGAGGTGTGGAGACACAGTGGGAGGAGATGAGCACGTGGGTAAAACTCCATCAGTTTGTCCTAGTTCAGAGGTAGAATTTGGATTTAGTGCCTACTAAACGCTGCTTTTGCCAGGACGTTTATTGAACCCCAGCAGTTTCTCCAGGTTCTCTGCTGTACTTACCGCAGGCTGTCGCTTACAGGCTTTTCCTGTCCCCCCTCACTCTGCACCTGACCCCAGCCCTGGGCACACGAACCACAGGGTGGCTTCTCCTTGGTTTTTACTGATGCAATGCCTTTCCCTTCCGTGATTTTACCTTATTTAATGAGAAAATGAATGTTTGCCAAAATACCATGTTTTATATATTTAAATAAAAAGGTTCCTGGTGAACTCTGTTTCCTCATTCCTTTTCCTCCAGGGGCTGATGAGGCTCTTGGCCTCTGCCTGCCCCTTTCCCACTGGTCACTTCCTGACACGGAATGGAGAAGTTTCCATGGAAACAGCATCAAGCGAAGCTCGGCCAGGCCCTGGTAACTGCACTCACTGTCCACACAGGGCGTGATGCTCCTGAGGAGCTGGAAACCATGGAAGGGGTGAGGCTGGAAAAGCCCTGTGAGCCCATGGAGTCCCAGCACTGCCCAGGCCAGCACTGCCCCATGTCCCCAGTGCCACATCCACAGGGCTGTGAAATCCCCCAGGGATGGGCACTCCAGCCCTGCCCTGGGCAGCTGTGCCAGGGCTGGGCAGCCCTTTCCAGGAAGGAATTTTCCCTACCTCCCCCTAAGAGCAAAGGTGGGATCAGAACCCCCGAATGCTCCGGTGCTGTTTCCCTTTCCTGTGGGACTGGGAGCAGCAGATCCCTGCTGAGCACACGGCTGGGCTCTGGCTGGAGAAGGGAAGGGGTTAAACCAGGGTGTCCCTTTTTCACTGCCATTGTCCCCCAGCTCCTGCCCCCAGAGCTGACACCCTGGGGCAGTGCTGGCTGTCCCAGTGAGGTACTGCACTGTTCACCCACCCCTCACTGCAGGGACCTCAATCCCAGTTTCACGGCACAACCAGCACCAGGGGCTGAGCCAGGGCCTTGGCCGGCAGGGGCTGGGTGCGGCTCCCTCGGCTGCTCCCCTGTGCGCCTGCCCAAAGCCCTGGGGCACGAACAGGCCCAGAGGGGTTTGGGCTGGGAGGGACCTGAAAGCCCACCCAGCACTGCCCCTTCCAGTTCCACCCCGGCCATGGTGGTAAAACCTTTCACCAGGTGCTCCACTAGGCAGAAGTTTTACCAAACTTGACACTGAAATCTGGCTTTAGATAAAAGGATAAAAATTCCATGAGAGTAGTCAAAATGTAACTGTAAGTGGTACAAGCAAACAGGACTGCAGAATAGGATATTCCACTTGTATTTGCTGAAAAAGCAGATCCACAACCAGCAGCCCAGGCCACTCCAACCATCCCAGCTGGAAACACCCCCTGGGCTGGCCCATCCAGCCAACTCCCTCCCACACAGAAGGAAACGTTGCAAAACACAGGGAGCACGGCCAGGTAAACATTTAAAATTTATTAAACTTTTTGGTCAAAAGAACTGAACAATTATGTACAACCCCACGGATCGGCTCGAGCAGGCGTTGGGAACGCGGCTGGATCAACGCTTCAGCGACCCCCAGTTCCACATCTCCAGAGTTCCAAAGTGTCACAACCAACTCCAGGCCTGAGCCTTTCCCGGGAGAACCTCAGGCTTTGTCCTTCCCACCTTGCTGGGACCCAGCGGCTCGGGGGCGGTACCGGGAGGGGCGGGACGGCCACGGTTTGCTCTTGGGACTGGAACAAGCCCTCTTTCCAGGGAAAACGGAGTGTAACCACACTTGGGGCTGGCTGGGGAAAGTTGGGGCTCTGGGAAGGAGTTCCCAGGCTGCAGGCACCTGGCAGAGCGCAGCCTCTGGCTGCTGGGGGCTGCTGGACGTGGCCCCGGGCTCATCCGGGGGAAGGGGATGTGATTTAGGCCTCTTTGGAAGAAAAAAAGAACAAAGAAAGAAACAGTACCTAAGGCTTAAAACAAGTGAGCAAGAGAGCTCCAGCAGCTGCTGTCCCGCCAGTCGGGGCTCACCCTGGGCAGCCCAGCCCGGCCTGGCTCTGGAACTGCAGTGGGAAATGCAAGATTCTACGCCAAATACTTAAAATAAACTGTTCCCTTTGTGACAAATACTAAAAAGGTTAAAAACCATTAACGCACGTCAGGTCCGTCTCTGGCTGAGGGTGAGATGCACCGGGAAGCTGCACGTTTATCCTCAGAGCAGAGAAGGTGTCGATGTTTTGGTTCCCTCCGTGCAAGGCCGACACTTGGTTAAGGCTGTGGATGTTTCTAGGACCCTTTCCATCTCCTACTTGGCACACACAGAGCCTTTGACAACAAATCCAGTGCAACTCCAACTCTATGACAATGCCATGGAAACTCTAAATTCAGAATCTGAAATACTACACAAAAAAGTTTGTATTAGTCCGCCAAAAACTCGGTGTTTTGGGGCAAACCCTGTCAGAGGCGCCACCAGAACTGTTCTGCACCAGCTCAGGACATGCAATACAAAAAGAAGACTGAATACATCCCTCCAGCTCTAAGAACACGTTTGATAGGCTGTTATTTATTAAGTGGTTTCCACCAGAAGGTGTGGTTATAGGTACAGTTGGTGAGTAAATAGCCATGGACACCTGCCTAGACCCCAGCTCAAGCCCTGCCACTGTGCTCTGAGGTCGGGCCCTGGCCGGGCCCGAGGAGGAATGGACAGGCATCAAGCACGAGAAATGTTCTGAAAGGCCCAAATGTTACAGCAGAGAGCGAGAGAGAGAAATTACACTTTTATGACAACTTTTTCTTCTCAGGTGTTAAATTTTTTGGTCTCTAAACTGGAAAGGAAGGCTCAGACATCAATAAATACAATTGTTTTGAGTGTTGGCCTCATTGAGCACCGTCCACCAGTTCTGCCTCGGAGGGTCCTCCCCGAAAGGCGCGCGGACGCTCCCACCCCACCGAAGGCAGAACCACGCCAGGAACTCAAAGCCAGGCCAGATGCTCTCCGATAGCTCAAGGGAAGTAAGTGCATCAATGTTCCTCACTGATAGGACAACAAGGCCTTCTGTTACAGATAAACAACTGAGCTGAACTATGCGAGACGAGACTCTGTCCGCGGGCAGCCATCCTTAGTTAACCTTTTCCTGGAATAAATACAAGTTATTGGTGGCAGCTACGGCGATGATGTTCTCCGCGGGGTGCCACGCCGTGTGCAGAATCTTCTTGTTGAAGTCCAGACTGTCGACGGTAATCTCGTCCTTCTTCCTCTTGCCCGTGGTGCACACTTTGCGCGGCTTTAGGATGGCACGGGGCTTGCTGCTCTCGCGGGACGCCTCCAGGGTGGTGTCCCGCTGCGTGCTCCGCTCAAACGTCCGGAAGAAGTTGTTGTAAGATCCAGTCATGATTGTACTGGTGCAAGGAAAAGGAAGGCACACCTTGTGAGAGATAAAATCCACCCCCTCCTCAGCCTCACACGTGACTGTCAGACCATGCTCATCACCGGGCCACGGCACTCCAGTGCTCTCCTCTCCACTGGACACCTGCTCCACTCCTTGGGGCTTGAGCACTGCTTCCAGTGCAACACTTCACTGTCAGCAGGTGCTGCCCTGCTGTCCCCTCCTGCCACTGGCACTCAGCTGCAGGGACACTTGGTTCAGTGCACGTGAGCAAAGCAGGTTTTCCTGGTGCTCCTCTATCCCTCTGTCCCTTGACAACAGAAGTCAGACTGGTTTGCCTAAAAGGGACCCCAAAGCCCCCCAGTGCCACCCCTGCCATGGCAGGGACACCTCCCACTGTCCCAGGGTGCCCCAGTGTCCAGCCTGGCCTTGGGCACTGCCAGGGATCCAGGGGCAGCCACAGCTGCTCTGGGCACCTGTGCCAGGGCTGCCCACCCTGCAGGGAACAATTCCCAATTCCCAATATCCCATCCAGCCCTGCCAGGGAACAATTCCCAATTCCCAATCTCCCATCCAGCCCTGCCAGGGAACAATTTCCAATTCCCAATCTCCCATCCAGCCCTGCCAGGGAACAATTCCCAATTCCCAATATCCCACCCAGCCCTGCCCTCTGGCAGTGAGAGCCATTCCCTGGGTCCCAGCACTGCAGGCCCATGTAAACACTCTCCAGTTTCTTGGCTCCTTCAGGTACTGTGAGGCCACCCTGGAGCTTCCCCTCTCCAGGTGAACAGCCTTTCAGGAAGAGCCTGAACAGGCTCTCCCAGCCTTTCCTCCCAGCAGAGCTGCTCCATCCTCTGATCATCTGGTGCCTCCTCTGGATTGCCTCCAGCAGCTGCAGGTCCCTCCTGCGCTGGGCTCTGCAGGCGGGGCTCACCTGGGCACAGGGCAGGAGCAGCCCTGGCAGTGCTGTTGGTGTGCCCTGCCCACGCAGGGATGTGTGCCCCACACTGGTGACTCGGAGCCGTGGGCAGCCCTGGCCCTGGCCAGGCCGAGCCCCTGGCACACCCTCAGCCCTCGCCCTCACCTGTCGGTGCCGTTCCAGCAGCACTCGAACTTGTCGAAGATGCAGTCGTTCTCGTAGAGGGAGCACAGCTTGCTGCGCAGGTACTCGTGCACCTGGGGAAGGGACACGCGTTGGACACGCACGCGGCCAGGGGACAGAGGGGACACGCACACGGCCAGGGGACAGAGGGGACACGCACACGGCCAGGGGACAGAGGGGACACGTGCTGGACATGCACACGGCCAGGGGACAGAGGGGACACGCACGCGGCCAGGGGACAGAGGGGACACGCGTTGGACACGCACACGGCCAGGGGACAGAGGGGACACGCACGCGGCCAGGGGACAGAGGGGACACGTGCTGGACACGCACACGGCCAGGGGACAGAGGGGACACGCACGCGGCCAGGGGACAGAGGGGACACGCGTTGGACACGCACACGGCCAGGGGACAGAGGGGACACGCACGCGGCCAGGGGACAGAGGGGACACGTGCTGGACATGCACACGGCCAGGGGACAGAGGGGACACGCGCTGGACACGCACACGGCCAGGGGACAGAGGGGACACGCACGCGGCCAGGGGACAGAGGGGACACGCGTTGGACACGCACACGGCCAGGGGACAGAGGGGACACGCGTTGGACACGCACGCGGCCAGGGGACAGAGGGGACACGCACACGGCCAGGGGACAGAGGGGACACGCGTTGGACATGCACGCGGCCAGGGGACAGAGGGGACGGCTCGGCACGCGGCCTGCTCTACCTGGTAGGTCTCCACGGGCCTGTTCTCCATGTTGAGGTCCCACACCTTGACAGACAGGTAGTCTCTTGTCATCATGTATCGCCCGTCGTGGCTGAATTTCACATCAGATATCGAGGATATTATTTCTGAAAAAAATGATCTGCTGCTAGGATCTTCAGGTTCCTCAAAAACTGCAGAGAGAACACACAGTTCCACATGAAACCAACGCCGGCTCTTACATGGCCTCCGTGTTTTCAGTACTGGAGAATTTTAAATCAGTCACTAGTTTCTTTTTGAAGGAAGTTGCTGTTAGACGCTTCTCAGAAATAATCTCTTTTTTAGCACTGTTGTGCTCTAGGTCACCAGAATGCCAGATGTCCATCTCCAACATTCAACCAGAGCACAGCACCAGCAAACCACAACTCACAGTCTTGGGGATCAACCAGAGCAGCAAACTGCAGTGGGTACTGCAACCATCACACCTGATCTACACCTCAGCCACAACAGCAGCAGGTGGGAGCAGCAGGGACCCCAACACCAGGAGACCACTGGACCATGTCCTGTCTTTAGCTCTGAACCACAGCTGTACTAAACAAACCCTGAAACGTGAGCAGCTACGTTTGCAACACGGTTTGTGTGACTTTAGAGAGCAGATCAACACGTGTTGTTTAAATCCACAAGTCAACCTCTGAAATCAGAGATTCCTGGCCCAGGCTGCCCAGATCTCACTCATTTTTGAAAGACCCCTTGTAGCAGGATGTGATTCAGTCCCAAGCAGTTAAAAATAAAGTGCATTTAAGTGATTTAATGCAACACTGAACCAGATCAGTGGGGTGGCCTTGCATTAGTCACTTCCCATTGCACAAGTATTTCCTTCTAGCCCAAGAAAGCCCTCTCTGCACTGCAGGAAGCTGGCCTGGAAGCGTCTGTGTGGCAGGCACCCCCAGGGCTGGGCAATGCTAGAGCTCAGCTCTGCCAGCAGGGAACAGGAACACGTGCCTGTGTGCAAGGCCTGGGCAGGATCCCCATGGCTTCCACAGCAAAGCTTTATTTCCTCACCTGCTCGTGCCTTGGTGGCTCAGCAGCCACCCTGCATCCCTGGAAACTTCCAGGGCATATTCCTAGGGATTCATCCTATCCCATCCTAGCAGCTGCACGGGTCACAGGGGACAGGGATTCTGGCAGCCCAGTTTGCAATGCACAGAGGTGCAAGAGCTGCCCTGAACTGGCACGGGGAGAGCAGATGCCTTGAGAGGCAGCCAGCCGGAGTGTGGCCAGCAGACAGGCCTCACTGTGCCCAAAGCACTCATCCCCATCAGTTTATGGGGCACAAACGGGCAAAGAGCAGCCAGGTAGGTGGTGCCTCATGCTACACCTGTGCCCAGGGGTGGCCAGAACAGGACAACTGAGACGTGCCCAGCACTGCTGCTCTGGAGCTCCCCAGGGAGATCGGGTCCCCCGGGGCTGGAGGGGGCAGGAAGGGGCAGGAATGGGGCAGGAAGGGGGCAGGAAGGGGGCAGGAAGGGGGCAGGAAGGGGGCAGGAAGGGGGCAGGAAGGGGGCAGCAAAGGGGGCACTCACACTTGGAGTGCTGGTCGCACAGCGCTGACGAGCGCATGTCGCACAGGCGGATGGTGCCCTTGCTGCTGCTGTACACAAACACGTTGCAGTGGTGCGGGTGGAACTCGGCCGCCGTGATCACCTCCGTCAGCTCCTCCATGTTGGCCGGCTTGATGTCCACGATGTCTGCCACAGCTGGTCAAGGCTGAAACGCTTCACACCGGCAGCTCATCAGCCACAGAGCTTAACAATGCCACCTAGGAAACGGGGGCAAGAGCTTCCTTCCCACCCTGTGTAAGGTACAAGAGTGGGGGACAGCCTGGAGAATTGGATTTGACAGGTCACAGAATCCCAGAATGGTCTGGGGTGGAAGGGACCAGATTGCTCCAAGCCCTGTCCAACATGGTCTTGGGCACTGCCAGGGATCCAGGGGCAGCCACAGCTGCTCTGGGCACCTGTGCCAGGGCTGCCCACCCTGCAGGGAACAATTCCCAATTCCCAATATCCTATCTAATCCTGCCCTCTGGCTCTGGGAAGCCATTCCCCTTTGGCCCGTCATTACATACTCTTTTTAAAAAGTGCCTCTCCACTTTTTAAAAAGTGCTTTCTCCATCTCAAATCCACAGACACTGGGCACTTTCAGACTCCTGGAGTGAAAGAATATCTCACAAGAATCAAAGTCCAGCAAGCCTCCCTAAGCCTCCTTCTTAATGCTTCCTAGTGCACACCAAATAAACCTCATTGCTTTACCTAAAGCTTTGGAAAACCTGATTTAAAACTTTGGAAATTGACCTGTTTAGGCATCAGTACTCCTGCAACTTTTATTTTACCGCAGATTTGTCAATGTAAAGCACTCTGTTAGTTTTAGTTGCAGAGGTTTGCAGAAAGATCTGAAAATTACTTCTGCAGTTAATGGTATCATTTGACATGAAAAAATATTGAGATTTGGTTTCAAGAGAAGTGTCACTTGGTTAAGAGACCACAAACTTTGAAGGAAGTATTCACAGTAACAGAGGATCTACTGTTCATATCCAAAAACTGTTATTTAACCTGACTGAACTTCACAAGTTAGGGATGCTCCCACAATTCCTCAATTTCTCCTTAGAAATCAAACCCTCTCTGATGTTTCTACTGACAGTTTTCCACTGGAGGCATGCTTGCCCTCAGCAAAGACTGAGCATCCCAGAGCCTGCTTTCACTGCATTACACCTCCAGACTTCAGAAATTCTCTTTGAAGCCCTGGCTTCAAACACCCACTCTAATTAGTACCAGTGAGGTGATTCTCTTAAACACAGGCAGCTGAGCTGCACCTGCCGTGCAGGGGGCACCAAAGGATACTGAAGCTCCTGTTGGTGACCTCCAGGTGCCAGAGGTTGATGCGGAGGTCGTCGGCAGACAGGTACGTGGCGTAGTCGCTGTTGACAGAGATGGAGTTGATGTGGTAGGTGTGGGCGTTGGCGAAGGTCCTGCGCGGGCTGGCCTCCACCATCAGGTCCATGGGCTTCAGCGTTGGCACCTGGGCGGGCACAGAGCACAGGGGCTGGGCACAGAGTCACTGCTGACCCCCGCGGGGTCACCTGGGCACACGGTCACTGCCGACCCCCTCACATCACCCTGGCACAGAGTGACTGCTGACCCCCACACATCACCCAGCACAGGGTCACTGCTGACCCCCACAGGGTCACTGCTGACCCCCACAGAGTCACTGCTGACCCCCACACATCACCCAGCACAGGGTCACTGCTGACCCCCACAGGGTCACTGCTGACCCCCACAGGGTCACTGCTGACCCCCACACATCACCCAGCACAGGGTCAGTGCCTTAGGAAGGACCCTCCGGATTGAGTTCATTCCCCCAGCCCTGCTGAGGCCGCCACCATCCCCCGTCCCCAAGTGCCACAGACAGCTGTGAAACCCCTCCAGAGATGGGGACTTCACCCCTCTGCCCTGGCCCACAAATCCAGCCTGTCCAGTTTCCCCTGCAGAGCTTCCTGCCCCCAGCAGATGCACATCCCACTCACGTTCCATCCTCTGTCAACTCAGCGGCCGCCCTCGATCTCCTCAGCCAGATCATCAATAAAGACCTTAAACAGAACTGGCGCCAACACTGAGCCCTGAACCCCACAGCTTGTTTGATGGCAATTAATTAATTGCACTGCACAGATTTCTGTATTGATTTGGTGACTAAACACTTCTGAAATCCACTGAGCACAAAAAATACGGAGAGAGCACATGGATGCTGACTTTGGACACTGCCAACAGGAAACCTCCCAGCCAAAGCCAGCCCTTGGTGCCTCACCCAACAGCACGTGGGCTGTGTTTGTAAACAAACCCTTAGAAATGTCCCCAGACCTTGGATGGCTGCTCAGGAAGCTGGCCAGAGCAGTCTCCAAGAAAACTCCCAATCTGCTCATGAACAGTCAGCAGGAATTCAGGCACACCTGGATGTCCTGCTCCCACAGGCAGCTGAGCTCAGGGGTGCCTAAGGTAACCCGTCCTCCTGGAACAAGGACCGATCCAGCCCAGAGCTGCCTACCTGCCTTCCTGGCTTGTATCTCCCAGCCTGTTTACACCAACTGACGACTACAATTAACCCATTACTTTTTATCAGGCCACTGTCCTATCTCAGCAGAGTGCTCCCAGCCTGGCTGTGACAGCACAGGTGCACTACTGGGAAAGATCAGCAATGGGACTTGGAAGTGCCATGGTCTCTGTGTGAAGGGCTGCTTCTCCTCCATGGCCACGTCCCCATGAACATGGGCACTGTGTTTCTGTAACAAAACCTGCCAAGGGAGCCCCAGAGCTCCTGGTACACTCCGGCTCTCCAAACCCTGGGCACTTTAACACATGAAGGTACCTCCAGGTGAGGTTTTTGCTCCAGCCAGCTCTTGTTCAGATGTGGCTCATCCATCAGCCCTTCTCCTAGGCTGCAAGGGCTGCAGGCCAGAGCAGCAGCAAGTGCAGGGGACTGACAGACAGGAGAGGTTCTGCTGCTGCTGCTGCTGCTCCCCCCGTGCAGGACAGAGCCCAAAGTGCCTCTCCAGAGCCCCAGCTGGTGCCTGCTCCAGCAGGGCAAGGCAGCAGAACCCAAACCTCCACTGCGACCTCCTTCTACCACTGGATCCTAAGGGATGTAGCTGCTGTCATGGAACACTCAATCCAACCCTGGCTTGCACACACTGAGGCAATGGAAATCCTTTCCCAACGCATTTTGTACACCCAAAGCTTCTGCTCAACATTCAGCTTTGGTAAAAGCAAGACAAACCCCAAGAAATGCCTCCAGCTGAAGTCTCGACCATGGAGGGGGGCTTTGAGAGCATCGAGAGCCTCAGTTCTGCCCCTGCTGATGGTGGAACAACATGAAACCCCAGGAAAACCTCCAACCCCACCTTTCATTTCTTGGGCTCCTGCTCCAAATGATCCCAAGTTTGGAGCACTAACCCTACCACTACAGCATGTCCAAGACTATTCCAGTGCACATTAGGTTACACAAATGCCTGGAACTTGCTCTAACAAACACACCTTCATCCAGCCACAGAATACCCTATTCCAATCTTTGAGTCATCCTCTTAGAAATACAGTATTACAATGATGAAAGTTTTCCTCAAGCTTCCCAGAGGAACTTTTTAAAATAGTTTTTACATACAGGAATAATATGAAGTGTCTCCATTTTTTTCTGAAGGTTTCAATGAGCCTGACACAAACACCATTTGTGATTTGCACATTTCAGTTTGGTGGCACAAAGACAGAGAAGAGCATGCAGAGAGATACACAAAGCCAAAGAGCAGAGACGTACCCGTAGTTCTGTGACTCGGCAAGGCTCCCTAAGTCTTCCATCTTCATCTTTTAAATTATAACCTTCGGCTCGTTTATCCCTTTCACTTATTTTCCATAGTTTAATAGTTTTATCTAAAACCAGAAAATTCACATGCTTGAGAACGGATTGAATACAAAATCAAATCAGTAAACGTGCACTCAGCAGAGAGGACATGAGTGCCCTGTCTGCATTTCCCCTGCCTGCAGCACAAGGACCCTGACCGAGTTCTTTACCCACGAGGTGAGGTGCAGTTTGAATAAGATCCCAGTCTGTGCCTGAGCAGTAAGGCCCTGTGCCTCCCACTCGCCCAAACGCCAGTGCCTGGGGAGAGTTTCACACTCCAATTACCCAAATTCCCTACTAAAGCTGGATGATTTGCTGAATTACATTAGGAGAGCACTGCTAGGGCCCAAACCCAACAAACACATGAAGGCCTCATACTAACGGTCCTAAAGGAAAGCAGGTTTGTCCCAGGCACCTGCTCAGAGCCAGCCAAAGGCAGAGATCAGGCTTTGCCCCAGTGTTCCCAAAGGAATGCACCTGCCAAGAGTGCTCCAAGTGCAGGCACTGAGTGCACACTTGTCTCACCCAGTGGTGAGAGCCTTGGCTAACTGGAGCCAAACCTCTCCTCCCAAACTCCTGCAGAGCATTTCAGATGACACTGTTTAAAGAATGCTTTATTAAGACTTCTATCAGAGGAAATTATTTTAATTGCACAAACCAGCAGACAGAAGTCACTCCTGCTTTTAGAATTTCACCACGACCTCACAAAGTGATCTAAACTGTTAAAATAACGTATTCCTCTGATAATAAGAGCAAGTTTTTTCCACAGAATAGTTTAGGCTGGAAAATACCTTTAAGACATGAGTCTAACTGTTCCCACTAACCCATGTACCCAGTTGTACAATTTCATTTACACATGCTCCATGATGCCCCAAAACTAAACAGACCCAATAGTCACAAAGCCAACATTACAATCAAGACATATTTTGCATGTAATTAGAGAAGGCATTAAAACAACCCCAAAATATGTCAGAAAAAACCCCAAGTGTATGACAGGTGAGACAATATCCCAAAGACAAAGTTCTTTGTGCAAAATAAAGGGCCCTTACCATTTGTAGACAGCAGGAAGTGAGCAGCATTCTGTTGTGGTAACCACCTAATTTTATTAATTTTTTCCTCAATTTCTAGACTTTTCAAGTAGTCAAACTCAGGCTCATGACTCTGGAAGGTACTGTAAACATTGTATTCTCCCCGAGAGAGAGGACGGCTTTTAGTCTGCAAGAAAAAGAGCATTTCTTGAGGCTGGTGGCACTGGGTCCCTCAGAAATGGCCCACACAAAACAACCACTAGAAACCGCCAATCAGAATGTCAGCTTTTACAACAGCTCTTGAATTTTGAATCTTCAGTCTGTGGCACTGTACCCAGTTTAGCATCGATACAGTGCACACAGCCCTTCCTCTTTGGAAATGTAGGTTTATGCATAAATAAATATCTGTGCACCCTTCAGGCTTTGCTGTTCTCAGGTGGTGGGTGTGGGAGCAAGGAACAGAGAGCAAAGTCCCAAGGTTCCCCAGATTTGCATTATCAGATTTGAGGCAACCTGTTATCAGGCTTTCTGAGTAAGCTGGTGTCAGTGGTTTGTGGTGCAGAACAGCCCCAGGGGTGCAGTTTGCCCTGCAGTGTCTCACAGCTGTGGAGTTTCCACACTCTCACTGAACTCTCAGACTTTACATGATTTTACTCCCTACGCATCATTGACTTGTAAGAATTGTGGGCAGGTTCCTCTCACCTGACCCCCTCCAGAAGTTCCCTGCACTCAGGGTGAGCTGCCTTGGCACCGGTGCTTTCCCTCTCTACTCACACGTTTGGCTGGAGTAATTGCTGCTGGCAAGTGAAGTCAAGTCCTATGAGCCCAGGGCATGATGCAGAGCATTCCAGGGTGCTTTCCCAAATCCCAAGTGTCTGGGGAGCTGTACAACCACCCTTAGCTGCCACTGACCTAGTGAACCGAATCTTAAATACAAACTGGGGAAAATATATGGTTATTATTTTAAGGTTCCAGCCTTATATGCTTATTGTAGATTCGTTGCTGCAGTTTTGCACAGGACAAAAGAAACGTCCCTCATTCCCAACTCTTCCTCAGTTTCCATGTGTGCTTCCCTGTGTTCCCTGGGAGACAGCTGAACATTCCTGTGCGAACAGCCTGACCTGGGTTTGTTTTCCCCTCTCTGAGGAAGTGCCACGACAGGCAGGTTTTGCCTTACGGAACAACTGAGAGCCAACCCATAATAGCCCCCCTCCACATCAGGCAAGGCCAAGATCCTGAGAAGTGCAGGGTGTGCCTGAGGCCCCTCTGACCTTCTCTCTGGCCACCCCAGTAAATGATGAATGAGCCTGGGGCCGTGTGGGTGCAGGCAGGTAACATTTCAGCGCTGCTGGCACCTCACTGCTCCAGAGCCTCCCAGAACCACCAGAGAGGCACCTGTGGGACAGCCTGGGACCAGCAGCACAGTGAGCACCACGCTGGCCAGGTGCTCACCGACAGAGCATCATCTGAGCCCCACAGCGAGAACAGAGCGGTTCTGCTGGAGAAATCCCACAGCACCCGACGATCTCTAACATTCGTGTACAGACAAGCTGAATTAAAATTCCATTATTAATTCTGGTATTTCTGACCCAGGAGGATGCTCAAACCCTCAAGTTCCCTTCAACTCCTCAAAGGACAGAATATGCAGACACTTTGGTGAGAACTGCCATGTGGAATACTGACTTTTTAAAGAACACAATCCCAGATTCCTCCCAGACATGACAATTACTTTTCAGCACTTGGTGTACATTTCCATCCCCACTGCTGCTCGGGATATCCCAGCTCAGGATGAACACACAGGAACATTAGAGCACTGTCACACAGCTGAACTCATGAAGAGGAGCTGTGGCAGTGCAGGAGGGACAGTGCTCCCCCTCTCTGATGGGAAATGCTCAAGTGTTTCTGCAGAAGTGGCTGTTTCCACTGCTTTTAAATCCTCAAACAAATTTTAACTACCTTATCCTGTAGTTCTTGCAACTTATTTCCTAAACTTCTTTTACATTCTCTCCCAAGGCATTGTGATTTATCTTAGGTCAGCTTGACCCAGTGGAAAAATTCAGGAGAAAGTCCAAATTCTGCAAAGCGACACTGAGGACACCAGGTAAATATAAAGAGCTCACTTGGATTTTGGGGACTTTTTTTTGGAAGGAGGGAGGGGAACCCTCACGAAACCAACTTACCAAGTACAGCACAGGGCAGATACTTACAAAAGTGTCTAACTTGGGGTTTTCTGAGAAAACTCTCCATTTAAATATCGGGGCATGAACAGATGAAGTGAGACTGTGCAACACAAGAACGGTGTAGTAACAACACTTTTGTTTTTGAGTCACTGACCTCTTGTTCCCTTTGAAATATAACCACTCTGCCACCTTTGTCTCCTGTTGCAAGAAGATCACCAGTGTAATTAAATTCAACTGTTGAAATTATATCAGCTGTAAAGAGAACAGAAATAAACCAGCACTGTAATGTGGAAAGCAAATCAAGGAGTTCCAAGACTTGAGCACAAAAAAAAAGCATTACAACTTGTATTAATGCAATGACAAAATTCTTCATTTACATCCCCAAATGCAGCCATGTTTCAAAGCCTGACACACTTTGACTGACAAGCTAAAACACTTATTCCTCAGTGCAGGCCTTTAGTCACCTGAAGTACACTGGCTTAGGAACCCAAGGTGTGTGTGCTGCCCCTGGGCAGTGTCCATGGGGATATGCCTGCCCTGAGCTTTATCCATGGGGATATCCCTATCCTGAGCTTCATCCATGGTGTGTGTGCTGCCTGTGGGCAATATCCGTGGGGATATCCCTGTCCTGAGCTTTATCCATGGGGACATCCCTGCCCTGAGCTCCCCAGGTGTGTGTGCTGCCCTGGGCAGTGTCCATGGGGATATCCCTGCCCCAAGCTTTATCCATGGGGATATCCCTGACCCAAGCTCCCCAAGGTGTGGGCAGTAACACTGCAGTGTCCATGGGGATATCCCTGTCCTGAGCTTCATCCATGGTGTGTGTGCTGCCTGTGGGCAATATCCATGGCGATATCCCTGAGCTTTATCCATGGGGACATCCCTGCCCTGAGCTCCCCAGGTGTGTGTGCTGCCCTGGGCAGTGTCCATGGGGACACCCCTGCCCTGAGCTCCCCAGGTGTGTGTGCTGTCCCTGAGCAGTAACACTGCAGTGTCCATGGGGACATCCCTGCCCTGAGCTCCCCAGGTGTGTGTGCTGCCCTGGGCAGTGTCCATGGGGATATCCCTGCCCTGAGCTTTATCCATGGGGATATCCCTGCCCTGGGCAGTGTCCATGGGGACACCCCTGCCCCGAGCCCCCCCAGGGACCCCACCCCAGGGTGTGCACCCTGCCAGGTGTGTGCATGCTGCTCCCACCCACAGCGTGCCCTGATCCAGGTGAGGCTGAGGCACACCTGCCTTCCCAAGCCAAGCACTCAGGGAGTTAGTAACCTCAGGAGCCTGGAACAGGCAGCTCTGCTCGGCCAAAGGGGCAAAATAGAAACAAAATTGTTCAGCTGAGCTTCCTGAGCCGGCTCCCGGCAGAAACATCAGCCAGGACACACGGAAGCAGGAGGGCAAAGGAAAAAAACCCCTGGGCTGGAGAGGGGCCAGTGCTCATCCCCCAGAGCAGCCCCAGCCCCTCTGGGAGGTGGCAATAAAGAAATCGTTGCCACTGAACAAGCCCAGCCACGGGGAGGTGAGATAAGGAGCTGGAAATGTCTGTCCTGGGGCTGGGGCAGATGGTAACAAACCCGACAAAGCACTCAGCAAACACTGCTCCTGCTCACATCAAATATTGCATTTATGATGCAGATAGCAAAATTCTGAGGTTTGAAGTGTATCATACCAATTAGTTCCAGAGTGTGCAATTGGAAACTCCCTGGAAACTCCTTTCCTGCATTGATCTTGATGTGCTATCTTTGAAATTCCGTTCAATAATGCCCCACTCTCACAAGGAAGGAGATTAGAAACGCTAACGAGTTTTCTCAACATAAATTCATTTTTCATCTTTAATCAATGATGCCCTTAAAAGTTTTTTCCTAGTATGGAGAGATAATGATTTACCTTCAGGATTAAAAATATTTAGAACAACTAAATAAATGAGTAAATATAATCTTTCTACAGATTATATGCCAGATTTATGCCAGCCTTCAATATCACTTTACTAACCAGCTTTTGGACACATCCAGTTTTATAGTCACCTTTCTTTAAAGGGAATTACTAGTCAATTATCAGTTATTATTAATTATACACAGGGATTTTAGAAGACACCCTGGAGAAGCAGGAAACCAAGGAAAAAGAAACAAATCGAGAAGGTAAACAATCAGTGAAGTGACTTCACTGAGAATTTTATGACATTTTCAGTACTCAGATAGGAAGAAGACCTTGAGTTATGGCAGTTTATTAGTAGCAAAACTGATATTCCACTACTACCCTCACCTGCAAGCCCTTCTAGCAAGGATCCCTTTTACCCTTGGAGATTCAGGATGAACAGCAGGAATAAATGCCTCCTTAGCACATACAATTCTTTCAAAGTCACAAAAGCTACTTTTCCATTTTATTTTAGAAAAAGAAGAGTTATTATTAGCTTCTCCCATTTTCTACTGGAGTATTCACACAATTATTTGCTCAAAATGATCTGTGTATAATTTCTGTTTCCCAAAAATGCCCAAAGCAGCTGCTGCCACAGCCATTATTCCCCAGCAGTGCTACCCAGACAAACAATCCTGGCTGGAAATGCACCAAAACACAGACACTACCCAAATTCCATGGCTTGAAACAAGAAATTCAGGGAGAGGAGGGGAAAGAAGATGCACTGAAATAGTCTGTCACCAACATGCTCTAGGGAACAGGGAACTGGGGGGGCACAGCAGGACAAAAATAGAGAACCTTCCTTCAAATATTTTCTAAGTTACAAAATTAGGAAAATGAGCAAATACCTGCTTTAATAGTCCTGTACTTGTTTTATCCATAAATGTATGAATTATAAAGTTTTCCCTATTGGCACGTTTAATTGAAGCAGATCAATCCCCCAAATCATTCCACCCACTATCGTCAGCACTCCAACATCTCAAAGCAGGTGAAATAAAAAAAAAATATTCCAAAGACTCCAAGTAAAGCACAGAATGAATTCCAAACCATTCCTGTTCTGCTCAACACTTCACCCACCTACATTTGCTCCTCACTTCCAAGTCACCTTAAAACTTTTAGGAAAGAACAAAGCGAAGCTCTGCAGGCTCTCCATCATTGCATTAACTCTGGGATTTCTAGGATTTTTATTAGATGTCATAACTTCTTCTCAGGTATACAAGCACCAGTCTTATCCCCCTGCCTTACCTTCAGCCTCTTGTCCATGCCAGCAGAGTAACTCCCAACGGAATGTGGGGAAGGGTGAGCAAAGCCAAAGCAATGTGATATTTGCTCATGGACAGCACCCCAAGGCTCTTCCCAGGTCCTGCTTTTCTAGAAACAGAGGTTTGTCCAGCTGTCCCTCCAGTTCTGTCCCTGTGGGGCTGGGACTTGCTCTGCACCCATGTAAATCCTCCTGCTGTATCCAGGGAGGGAGGGCAGCAATCCCTGGGACTTCACAGTAACGTACAAGGCTGGCCATGTTTCTTTCCAGACAAGAAAAATTCACATTTAGCCTCAGTTCTGGAAATGAGTTCCAACTTGGTTACACTGCATCCAGAGGAGAAACTCCGAGCTGTTTTCACAGTGGGTATTAAAAGGATTGCTGGCAAATACACTGTGATTCTGTACCCCCAAACTTAGGAGCACTGATCACTTCCATGGGCAGGAAACACCACCCCAACACATCAGAGGCCACAAATGCAGCTCTGCAGCAACGTGGTGGAGCCCACTGCCCGCCTCAGGAGAGCCCTGCAAGCCCTGACAGATGTGACAAAGCTCAGTTTGAGCGCTCCGAGCCTTTCACCATCTCTGCTGCGTGCGAACCTCCCTGTAAACAACTCTTGCCAGAATTCTGGGGAGCTGACAGCCTCCAGAGCCTGCTGGGCAAGCTCTGCTGGGAGAGAAGGGAGCTGGGGTGGCAGAGACCAGCTTTTGTTAGCATTTGGAGATGACAGCAAGCTTATACCTGCAAACTAACTTAATCCCCCCAGGATTCATGCCGGGTATTTCTGACACCGCTATCAACGCCCGGGCTCTCAGCTGAGGTAATGGAGAATGCAAAGAGATCCACAACATCTACATCAGGTGCCTAAAATTAGCTCCTGTGAACTTTTCCTCTCTAAGCTGCCTGTGCATGGCTGCTCTGGTTAGAACCCAAACCTGAAAACATGCAATTACCTGATGGCTCACATAGGAGAAGGAACTGGCAGCTGCAGCTTGCACTCAGGACCAACACTAATGAGACATGGTCAGCACCAGTGCCTCTCATCCTCCTGAGCTGCTCAGAGCCTTTTGTCACAAACCCACTCCTCAGACATGGAGTGAAAAGGAACCAAACACTCACAGCTCTCTAACAGCACCTAAAAAGGAGGCTGTTCCAGCTTCCAGGGCATTCTAACCTAGACTTTTCCAAATATGTAATGGGCAACATACCACTTCAGCACAAAGCCTGAACAATGCCTGCCTGCACACCTGGCTCCTGTCCTGCTCCCCGAGAGGAGTCTGAATGCACAGCCCCATTTCCCATGGCCCATCCTGGGACCAAAGCAGAACTTCTGTGAGGCCCAGGGAAACCTCTGCAGAGGCTCCTCTTTGAGAGGAAATGGCCGGCCTGGCCTGCAGGCTGGCACGGGCTGTCAGGGGACAGAGGGAATATTTCTGTGGCTGTGATCAGGCTCAGAGGTGACACACCTTCCCTCCAACACTGCCATCCTACAAAGCTGGAGCTATCTGTGGCTGGACAAAGCTGTGGGAGGCACTGTGTGGCCTCTCACAGCAAATGGGAAGCAAGCCGAGTGCAGAAGGGATCAGCACAGGTTATGTGCTCCCACACCAACTCAGAGAGCAGGCACTGGGATCCCCCTGGAATGCTGTGCTGAACCCTGTGACACGACATCAGAAGGAACACAACTCTCTTTGCAGCAGACAGGGACAACAGACCATTCTGAGGGACCACAGGTGACAAACACGGGCAGTGAGAACAGCAAGGAGCCATCGCTTCAGAGCGACTCAGGAAAGACTCTTCAAATAAAAAATATAATAGGAGCAAATAAGATCAGTCAAAAAAAAAAAAAAAAGAGAGCCCCTTTAGAGGGAAGAGATTATCAAAGAAAATGAAGCAATTTAGATACCAGCACCTGCTAAAGAGCAAATCATAGAAAAAATGTTTAAAAACCAAACTCCTATTGGAGCTTAACAAGTTGCAGACACACAGGGCCTCAGAACTGCTTGTCACTGATGTGCAGTAACCGCACTTCCCAAACACTCCCGGGGACGAGCAGCTGCACTCAGGGCTCTGG